CTTCCTTCCGAGGAGTGGCTGGTGGGTTTGAACCACCAGCCTTCTGGTTAGCAGTCAAGTGCCTTAGGCACTATGCTACCAGAGCTCCTATGCTGTATATACATTAAAAGTATACATTTCATGTATCATTTATTTAGTCTTTAAGGGAGAGGAAAAGTAAATGACAATCATGAAATGAGTATTTACAATAAATAAATATATTTTACCAATTAAATATCGACTGAAACATAAAAAAAATGAGAATTATATTTTTAAAATAATAATTTAGGTAACGATTATATTGTTGTTGTTATGTGCTGTCAAGTCAGTCCCGACTCATAGCGACTCCTCCTTGGGTTTCCGAGGCGATATCACTACAGAGGTGGACTGCCCAATCATTTCAGAAATCCTAGCATGGCTTAATATCTTGAAATGATATTGATGTTCAAGCCTCATGCTTGAAATCTCTCATGAATCCACAGTCTACTTGACTAACGAGAAGTCTCAACTCTTCAGTGATCTATGTCAAAGATGATAAATTAAGTGGCTAATTGTACTTTGAAATCCAAAGAACTAGTAATGTTAGCACCTTAAATAGTCCTAAATTGCCCATATTTCATACTAATGAAACCTTTAATCTACATGCAGTGATTCTGTTAATGGAATTGTCTTTAATACAGATGCTTTTATCAGCAGATTCTTTCAGTAAAACTGGTACTTTCACTTCATTTTAAGCTTCATCATATTACCCCATTGATTTTTAAGTGTTAAGAAATTCTTGTCACTTTGGTAATACTTTCACTGTGCATAGAACAACCAATGTACCTACAGAATTAAATTTTTAAAAGTTGAAGAAAATTCTGTTAACAAGAGCAAAGTGAGACGAATTAAATTTGCTACATTTTTCTCCTAGAAACTTTATTGGAACCGTATATATTTAAAAAAAAAAAATGATATATTACTTTAGTTTCAGACCAAAGGATGTGCTTACTCACATTTCTAAAAAAGTGAATATAGATTTTAAAATTTCTTCTTCGGAAATAGAACTCATTTCTTTTCTTTTCTTTTTTAATGTATTTTCAGATGTAATCTCATTAAGTATAGACTATGCATGAAGATTTATCATAGAACTGTAAGTTTTTACAGTTAACAAGTATATTCTGTTGAAAAATTCATAAAAAATTTATAACATTTTTGAGTACTAATATTTTTTCCCAATTGCACAATCTATTCCCCATGACTTGGATGCCAGTAAAATTATACGTTTTGATATAGAAAATGTTCCATTACTGAAATTCGAGTGAAGCATCCCTGTTCATTACTACAGAAAATGTCCCAAAAAAGTCAGAGAACAAATTGATTTTTGCAGAAGCATTTGAGTGTTGATGTCTTGTCAATGATG